CCGACCGACGTTTCAGACGGTCTCTCGCGTGCGAGCGCATGTATTATAGGTCCCTATTGACATGCCTGAGAGGAGGAGAGGGGTTCCTCCCTCCACTCTGTCATGTCTATATATTATATAACTTTGTGTCCCCGGTGACTTTTAGATTATAGAACAATGCTCCTGCATTGCAACGGAATATAAATATACATTATATACCTGTCAATAATAATGTGATTGTGTAAATAAATGTTCATCGAATTCTGCCCGTGAATTACCTTATATTTTGATTAGAAGTTTGGTAAGTAAATTAAGGTGAAATTGGTTCATAAGGTAAGTAAATTAAGATGATTTATTACCATATACATGAAAGGTTGGACGAAAGAGTGATGGGAAAAAAAGGTGAAATGGGAACCTTAGTAGAGATTGATAGGTAGATCTTGGAGGAGACTTTCTGGGCGGAGGCACCATCATCTCACATTTGTCTTCCTCCTCGGCTTGGGCATCGCTTTCCTCAGTTGCTGCTCCATGGAGATGGGGTTCGAAGCCTCTCTAGTCAATGGGCTCCTGGATGCGGCTGGAACCATCGTTCTCCTCTTCTCACTATTGGAGTTGGGGGAAGATGACTATGCCGGTTGGTCCCTTATCTACTCATTCTATCCTCTAGGTCTCAATAAGAATTCTCGTTGCACATTCTCGGTTATACCATTGCTGAGTTATTCGGTTGAGTATATCCCTTATCCTCGTTCCCAGTGCTTGCACTCTTTGTGGCTACATGGTGCTTAGCATATACTTGTTGGGAGATGGTCCATGCTTTCCTCCGTCTATGGTGTTGGTTTCTTCAAATTCTGACGATGTTATTCCCACTTCTCACGTGTCAGAGTAAGGCTACACATTCCGTGCAGTCTTCGTCTCCTCCCTTCTTCAACTTCTCCTTGCCTATCTTGCTCCCACTGGCCTCTTGGTAGCAACCGAGTTGGGAGTGGGACTTCTTTTCCCTCCTTGACACTTGATGCATCAACATCGGTGTCAACTTGTAAAGCATGTCCAACCGAGGTGCGTCACTTCTTCTTATTTGGATTTTCATTGTATTGGCGGTTCTTCCACCTCTCGTCATTGCAGATCTCCATCCAACAGTGGTGCAATCCAAATGTGTTATCTTTCTTTCCACCTTTCTTCTTTCCTTTGCCCTTAAACATTTCTCGATCAATGTTGACCTACAGACAACAAGTGAGAAAAATAAGTTATACACCAAGGCGTACGAGAGATGAAGGAAAAATTGATCAATGATCGATGGATTCCACTAGCGTTGTGTTTCTTGATGTACTCATAGATACACTCCCAATAACTTGAAGTTTGTTGCTCAACCCGATGACGAAACAAGACAAATATTCTTCAATGCGTCACACAACATCTTGTCTTCTTTGGTACTCTCCCGTATTGAGTTGGAACAACAAAGCCCTAATCTTCCATGTCAAGAACTTGATCTTATTCATCGCAAAAAAAAAGAACTTGATCTTGTGATGCACATTCTTGAGGTGGGGAATCTTGTGATGGAAATTCCCGTTCAACACAGATGTATTGCAAAAGAAGTTTCATCATCCACACTACATACATCAAGTGTGAACAAAACACACACATACCACACCACAATTTCATACAAAAAAAAGAGCACACAGAATTTAATGAAAACCAAACAAGATTTTTTCTATCTCCAGTCAATTCACCGAACAAGTTGGTGGTCCTAGCGGTGGTGGCGATGGGAGACACTAGCTTGACCTTGGACGGCAACGGTAGGGCATCAGAATAGGCCATAGGTGATGCTGGAGGAGCCGGTGGCGCGAGGGAGGGAACGCCGTCAGCGCAGCCGATGCCTTCTTTCTCGCGCGATCCGCAGCCACGACCGATGGATCCCGCGGTGGCCACTTGCCGACGGGCTTCTTTGCCTTCGGGGGAGCCTTGGCGCGATGTTCATTGTTTTTCTCTTTGTATTTTTATTGTTCACCATTTTTGTGATAGTTTTTAATTTTGAGGCAAATTTTTGCGATAGCTCGTCACTCGTGTCTTTTTTTTGAGGGGGAATCTGCCACTTTATTTATGAGTTAAAACAGGTCTGGGATCTCCATAGAGACCACCGAAATCACAAACTCTGGGGGAACCATAAGCCAAACCTTACAAAGTTCATCTCCTACTCCTACTTTTGCTAACTTATGCGCGACAGAATTCGCAGAACGACCCACCCATGATACTTTCACATCGTCGAAAAACCTGAACATGTCCTTGATCTCTTGCACCCTTGGCCCCAAGGCAGCCAAGCTTTTCTCCTTCGCTTGAAGCATCGACGCCACTGTTTGGTTATCAGTCTCCAGATGGAGTTTCCTGACGTTGATCTCGGCAGCTAGTTGGACGACGCGTCTGCATGCAAGCAACTCCACACTTTCAGGATCAGACTCATGATGATAAACGTGACATGCTGCTGCTCGAAAGTCCCCCGCGTGGCCACGCAGGATGACTCCCACTCCTCCCTTGTTGCCAAACTTGGAGACCGCACCATCAGCGTTAGCTTTGATCCATCCTTGGTTCGGCGGTGTCCACTTGGCAGCTTCTTTGATGGCTTTTGCTTGGGTCTCCTTCCTATGAACAGCATACCATTCGGCCATATACGTGCAAATAGAGTTCAGTATTTCATGTGGTGGTGCAATCCTGTTTCCGTCCCTTGTCTCATTCCTTGCCAGCCACAACCCATAGCAAGCCTGGATCATCGTGGCTCTCTCCTCCTCTCCTGCTTCCGCGAACCACCCAAGCAGCCATGATGATAGTGCGCTCGAGGAATCGATCTGACACGGTGGGGCTGCCACCATAACTCCTTTCTCCGAGCGCATCATCCTCCAGAAGAAGGTTGAGTGCGGACATGTCCAAAAACGATGGAGGAGTCCCGTCCACATGCCACGCAAAACACCCCTGGCTTAATATGCCGCCGATGAAGCTCTGTCCCAATAGCTAGTCCATTTCTCATAAGTCTCCACATATGAATCTTTGCCTTGCTTGGAGCACAAGCATCCCACAGCGCTAGCCAACCCTTGTGTGCATTGACCGAGGAGGAAGGGCCCGGCCGTCCGGACTTCACCCCATTCAATGCCATCCTCAGGTGATAGGTTGATCTTACCGTGAACAGCCCGTTCTTCGTAAAGTTCCAAGCCATGTAGTCCTCCATGTTCGGCCCACCAATAGCTATCTGCTTAATATCTCTTGCATCATCTGGTGAAAACATATCATCCACCAGCTCCTCGTTCCATCCCTGCGCATCCGGTGTCATTAGGTGCTGCACCTTGGTAGCCCCTGGAATAAACGTTTGCCCCAACGGCTTCATGCTGCCACGCCTCGGGATCCAATTATCGTGATGGACGTTGATCTTTGACCCATCACCTATGCGCCAGATCATGCCTTCTCGTAGCAGGTCCCGTCCGTAAATCATACTCCGGAAGGTGTATGACGCCCCGGATGGGCAAGTAGCGTTCATGATAGAGCCGTTTGTATAGTACCGAGCCTTCAAGACTCTAGCGCAGAGGGATTCCGGGCATTGCAGCACTCGCCACGCCTGCTTAGCTAGCAAGGCTTGGTTAAAAGCTACTGGGTCTCTGAAACCCAGCCCCCCTTCCCTCTTTGCCAGGCACATCTTCTCCCATGCTACCCAATGCACCTTCTTTTCTCCATTTGCTTCACCCCACCAGAAGTTTGACGAAATTGACTTCAGGTTCCCGCACATTTTCTTTGTGAGTTGGAAGCAGCTCATGGTGAAAGTTGGTGTAGATTGCAACCCTGATTTGACAAGTACCTCTGGTGCTGCTTTAGATAGGCCTTGTCCTTTCCATCCTGAGACCTTGCCTTTCGAGCACTCCGTTACATACTCGTGTCGAATGGTACCCACATATTTACCAGTTCTGAGATATTGGGCTTGTTTTTTAGGCTAGCTCGGCCCACTTTCATTCGAGGATTTTTTGTCAAAAGAGACCACATGCGCAATTGAATTGCCAGAAAAGACCCCCTCTGAGACAATTTGACAAAAAAGACCCCCTCGACCGTGGCGGCAGGCGCGCCAGGCGACACGTGGCACCTGCCGCCACGGTGTGAGACGGCGGCCCCTGCCGCCACGGCGTCAGGCGGCAGGCTGCGTGGAACGGGAATCGGCTGGCGCGACGGAACGGGCTGGCGCCTGTCGCCTGAGCGGCTGGCGGCAGGACTATAGCAGCCGGGCCCGGCCGCCTCAGGGGCTGGCGGCAGGCCTGTTCATCGGCGTCATTTCTGACACTGTGTTCATCGGCTGGCCTGTATTCCTTGCTTAGTTACTAGTACTCCATTAGTTAACACGAGCAGAGGCCTTATTCATGCATGCATGCCCATATGACGTCCACCTCTTTAAACAAAGCAAAGTACTGCCGTACATGCGCGACGCAGGGTACAGACATGAATTTTTGTCAAAGAGACCACCTGCTACAGCATGCCAGCCGCCAGCCTCTGAGGCGGCCGGGCCCGGCTGCTACAGTCCTGCCGCCAGCCCCTCAAGCGGCAGGGGTCCATAGCGCCAGCCCGTTCCGGCACGCCAGCCGATTTCCGTTTCATGCAGTCTGCCGCCTGACGCCGTGGCGGCAGGAGCCGCCGCCTCGCACCGTGGCGGCAGGTGCCACGTGTCGCCTGGCGCGCCTGCCGCCACGGCCGAGGGGGTCCTTTTTGTTAAATCATCTCAGAGGGGGTCTTTTCTGGCAATTCAATTACGCAGGTGGTCTCTTTCGACAAAAAATCTCATTCGAGGCTACTGCGGCGTGACGGACGGGTCCCGGCACGCGCTCGTGGAGCCGATCCGGACCGTCCACGCCGTGTGCGTGCCAGAGGAGCCGACGGTGTGATCCAGCCGCCTGCTTGTCCGAAAAAAAAGAGCTCGACACGCTCCCCCCCTCCCGTCCCTCCCCCACTCTCTCTCTCCGGCGCATCCAGAACCTCCGGCCGGCGCGGCGGCGGCAGCCATGGCGGACGCGTACTGGCGGTACGCCGACCTCCAGCGCCAGCAGCAGCAGCAGCAGATGCTTCCCCCCTCTGCCGGGGCCCCGCAGTCGTCGCTGGCCGCGGCGGCCGCCGCAGTGCAGCAGCCCCTCAAGCGCCCCCGCCCCGGCGACTACTCCGCCGGTTCGCTCCCCTCCCCTCTCCCTCCTCCGCACCCTCTTTCCCCCCGGCCTGATCCGTTCCTTCTCTCGCCCCTCCTGATCCGGACGTCTAGGGTTTTAGCGCCGCCGCGTTTGGTCGAATCGATCCGCTTCGCCCTGGCCTGCGCCCGGGCCGACGCCGCCCCGGAGTAGGCGTGCGCTCGCTGCCTCCGTTCGAGTCGCCTGAGCTCTGCGCTGACTGTCACTGACGCGAAATCAAGCGTATTTTGTGGGGAATTTGCATCCAGGGGCGTAGATTTCAGGCCATCGGCCCCTGAAAGCGGTGACTCCCATGGTAATTTTGCGCGATCTCTCGGTTTAATGGTGCTGAAATCGGTACCGTCCAGGTGGATTCACGCGTTAAGCCTCGTCGGCTTTTGAAGGCGCTGCCGTGTGAGCGCAGACTGGGACTGAGATTTTGCATGCTTGGGGTTTCGATTTAGGATGAAGCTGGATGAAAAGTGCAGATTTTGTTATGAACTTTTGATTTGTTTGCTTGGTTCTAGTCGTCGTTTATGAGTTGTGATGACTGCAAGTGAGAAAATAAGTTATTATCCATGCCACGCTGGTTTCAGTATATCTTCTCGGCCAAAATCACTGTTTTGACCTTGCCAGAAAACTTCAACACAAAATAACCTCCCCCAAATTTTTTTAGCACGATCTGACTCTTTTATGCAACGCCATGGCTTCCAGTGTTTCTGGCGCACATAGAAACGGCAAACCGCGGGGCGTTTCTGGCCTGGTCACGACCTGGTCGAGTGCATTTCACCTCCTACGTGGCAGGGCAGGAAGGCCAAACCACAGCGCGTTACTGGAAACGCCGTGGCCTGTGGTGTTGCTGCCCCAAGAAGAAACACCATTGCTTGTGGCGTTTCCAGCAATGTGTGCTCGTGGCCACTTGTCTATTTAGGGAAGAAATGCTGCCCGGTTTGGCGTGTCTAGGTGGGGCAGAAACGCCACAAGGCTTGGTGTTACCAAAAGGGTCAGATCGTGCTAAAAAATCTGGAAGGGTTCAGATCATGCTAAAAAATCCTGACAAGGTCAAAATAGTGATTTTGGCCTATCTTCTCAACCAATATCCAAATCCAGTACATTAAACGGATGGCTTGAGAGAGGCAGTAAGCACTGTCTCTAATTCTATGGTTGTTATAAAACTATAAATGTTCTGGGAAAAGCATCCCGACAAGGTCAAAATAGTGATTTTGGCCTATATTCTCAACCAATATCCGAATCCAGCACATTAAACGGACGGCTCGAGAGAGGCAGAGAGCACCGTCTCTAATTCTATCGTTGCTATAAAACTATAAATGTTCTGGGAAAAGCCCTGCAAAAATATGTCTTGGGACCTGTATTTACTGCTAGCTTTCCTCCCCTTTGTAGATGGACATGGTGCTCCTGAGATGGCGGGCTATTACCCTCGTGATGAAGAAAGGCCAGGATATGCTGCCGTGAGAGATACACAGGCTCTTAATGCTTCCTATGAGCGTTTTCTGCGTACTGGGGTATACGTCATCCTTTTTCCTGATTACTCATTTTCTAAACAACACTCTCAGCTAACATTTCTTCTTATGTTCAGCAAATTCAGTCCTATGGCGCTGGACCTGCTGGTGGATCTGTCAGGCCTACCGCGGGAGCCAGTGCTGGTGGCTACCAAGCTGATGATCGTCCGGGCATGGCTGCTGGGGGTATGAATGGCAGGAATGTTGGTTTTGGTGGTGGAATGCCAGAGCCTCCCCTTCCCCCAGATGCCTCAAACACCTTGTTCATTGAAGGCATCCCTCCTGATTGTGAACGCCGAGAAGTTTCTCGTATCCTTAAAACCTACACCTTTTCTGTAACTCTCTGCACTTGTTGCCCCTCATAATATGCCTCATGTTCTAGCTGTTGGTCCTTCACTTTTCCACCCAGATATCTTTCGACCATTTGTTGGTTTTCAGGAGGTGAGACTTGTAAACAAAGAACCAAGACATGTAAGTGAGCTGTTGGGCGTTTGCCAGGTCTTCTCTCACATTTTATTTTCATTTATTCTTCTAACTCTTCGCTTCTGACAGCCTGGTGGTGACCCAATCGTCCTCTGTTTTGTTGATTTCACTAATGCTTCTCAAGCAGCTATTGCCATGGAAGCTTTGCAAGGTGAAATCGGTGAACTTGGCATGAATAGATACTCTATATTCTGTTTGTTCTTAACTAGTACTCCCTCTGTAAAGAAATCTGAGATCGTTTAGATCACTACTTTAGTGATCTAAATGATCTTATATTCTTTAGAGGGAGTATGATTTCTTTTCTTTTCCTTGGAGTGCCAATTATCTCATAGTTCTACCATACGCATAAATTCGAATAATTCATGTCCCAAAGTTCGCATAGGTGCTTGTAACATTGTGAGGAATTGTGGTCATTTGAATCCTTTAGCCAAAAGCCAATATTGTCAGGTTGTGTTAGTAGAATCAAACTCATTCAACTTAAGTCACTATATATCCTTTATTTTGGTGTGAAGTAATTGCCAACATTTTTTTTGTCATCGCCCGTTGCTTCACATAGCACCTACTGGTTATTGGTGATTATGCTACTTGGTGGTAGATGATGTTCAGGTGATAAGGCTCCCCTAGATTTTATAACGTGGACTTGAGACTAGGCTTGTCCCTGAACAATCTACAGTAGAAAATGCTAGTGATATTTATTATTTACCATCTATTAAAACAAGATTGTGCCTTGCCCATACTCCTGGATTGCATCCTGTCTGTCATTTTGCCACCCATTTTAGCAAGATATATATTAAGCCCTGATATGAGAGTGCGGCTAATCTGCACCCGGGCTCATCTGCACCCACGCTTAGAAAAAAATTCAAAAAAAATACTAGAAAAATTCAAAAAATTCCAATTTTTTTTGTGGTGGTAGATAATTTGACCCGTGAGGTGCGCCCCAAAATTCAACTCATTTGAGCATCTGAGCAGCTCTCGGCAAAAAAGACAAAATCAGGGTCTGTAAAAATGTTTACTGTTCACGCACTGTTTTGACCCGATTTGTCTTTTTTGCCGAGAGCTACTCAGATGTCCAAATAAGTTGAATTTTGGGGCGCACCTCACGCGTCAAATTATCTACCACCACAAAAAAGTTTGGAATTTTTTGAATTTTTCTAGTATTTTTTTTGAATTTTTTGCTGAGAGGGAGCAGATGAGCCCGGGCTCCAGGATGAATTATCCCTGATATGAGCACTACTCGTTAGTGATGCTTGCCGCGCTATTCTACTGCCTTATTCCAGAGAGATGGTTGGTGATCAGTCACTCATTATTAATTTCTGCGGCTAGATAGAATCAAGCTAGTCAAGGGAAATGTATGTAACATACTCATGCAAGGAGTTTAATGACGCCTTGCAGAAGCGAACATCATCGTAGTTCAGAAAGCATTTTCAATGAACAGCAAACTAATTTAGGGTATGCTATTCTTCATGATCTAGTGGTCATTCTGAGGCAAGGTGTTGTCTGCTAGGCACCTGCTTTGAATTGGTTAGGTATATCATGAATGGAGCATTGTGCATTTGTTAGCTGAAACGTTTTTTAATCTATTTGATTGTTTTGCTGTCTAGATGCTTAGCTCTTGCACGCAGCATTGTCACCTTGCGAATAATAAAATACCGCAAATATGAGGCCAATCTGTTTTGTTGATTTTGCAGGCTATAAGTTTGATGAACATGACCGCAGCTCACCTCAGCTGCGGCTGCAGTTTGCTCGTTTTAAGGGTCCAAGGGGGCAAGCAGGAGGACCTGGTGGTGGTGGTGGCGGCGGCGGCGGCGGCGGTATTAGGCGTTAAGTTGTTGGGTCGATGATTTATTTGGTGGGGTGACAGCACCAGCTAATTTATTTCTCATCACCTCTTAGGTCCGATAACGTGTGGAAGTGCGACGATGATATTTTGTTTGTTGTTCTAGATATATATTTATTTGTCCCCATAGTACTAGTATTGATAGCTTTTGCTCCCTCTACCGTTCCGAAGTCATTACTACCTTGGTCTGGCAAGGTGATTTCTTGGACAAAATGAACTGTTTAAATGTGGAAGGGGAAAACGACCGCGGCAACCTCAAGGCTATGTCTGAATCGTGTGGAATTGTATTGTATTGTACAAACGGTTTTGCTGGTTAATGCGTGTTGCTCCATGTAATCTGCTCTTGTGTGCTGCATTATCACCCAGCTGTTAATTTCCTTGTCCTTCGACCACAGTTTCTGCTGTTATTCCTTGTTTTAATCATTTTTGGCAACATTGATCCATTACGTCTTGAAGATCAAAGATCTGAAAAAATGCTGTTGAGTGTGTATGCAATGAGATGAAATGGAAATATGTCATTTTTCACCAGGATCGCTGCAGTGGCTGCCCTCTGCTTCATTTCGCTCTCGAGCTCTCATGACAAATTGTTCTGAAACCCGCGGACCATTTGACTACATATAGTATGAATTTGATTAGTGCCGGTTTATTGTTTGTATGGTACACAGGGAGGGAGGAAAAGAAGGTTTTAAACATACTGGAGAGTAGCAAAAAATATAACTAATTGATGGCTTGTTTTTTCTTTTTAGCAATAGTCGACATGTACATGGCGGGGAGTTACATGACAGGGCTCCCCGGGCATCGGCGCCGCTCGGCTTGTGCAGGCGGTGGCCATTGAACTGATGTAAAATTGGCCAATCTAGTCTCGCTGCTCTGGTTTGCAGCTGCGTGGTAGACAGTCGAAATCTTGTGAAATGTGCAACATGGCCACAACCATGTCAGCATCTCTTTTCAGTTCCTTCTAAAATCTCAGCTTGTCAGCGACCCACAACAAAAGCTTATTGTGGAATATGTAGCACCTCATGGCCTGACAACCAACATAGGAAGGACTGATATCAAATGGTTTTGATAGAACGATGTATATATAGTGGTGAGCAATGACCACCAGAACTTCTAAGTAAAGCACAGGGGGTAAGCATGATGCCACTGAATGGTGTAACTCATGACTCATGAGGAACAACAATAAAAGCATGACCAGTGCGTCGACCATTACGAGTTGTCTAGAAAATTGTTCATAATGCAAGACGGGCATGAAGGGATTTGTTTGGTACTCTATATTTTATCACATGGCTGACGTGAGCACAAAGAGGATACCAGAATTTGAATATTCTAGATTAGTAAGTCAAGAAAATTCCCTCGCAAAAAAAGCAAGTCCAGAAATTCAGTAAGACTCCCACACGAGCGCATTCTATGCAAATGGTTTGTACCTCAACTAATGCAGTAGCATATGGTTCTTTTCTAAGATTAAATGAAATAATTGATAAATGTGATGATTTATGCAGAGGAACGAAAGTAGATGGAGGTCTCCGTGATGAGCTAGGGACTACAAAACCTTCATTTCAACAGAAAAGTACCATTGGCTATGGTTCAGCTGAGGATCTAATTGGTCAGGTATATCATGAATGGAGCATTATTCATTTGTTCGCTGAAATGTTTGTTAATTTGTTTGGCTGTTTTGCTCTCTGCATACTTAGCTCTTGCACGCAGCATTGTCACTTGCGAATTATAAAATACTGCAAATATGAGGCTAATTTGTTCTGTTGATTTTGCAGGCTATAAGTGTTAGACTGTATATACGTAGTCTTGTATAGGCCTTGTATTGTACCTCTTGGTACGTCTATATAATGAGATAGCCACACCCCGTTTTAGGGTGTCGAGCCAGTTTCCGAAATCCTATGTTTTACATGGTATCAGTTTAGGTTATGATGTCTTCCACTGCATCACCTCCCGCCGCCGCCGCGCCGATCTCGGCCGCCGCCGCCGCGCCGGCCCTTGCTCCGATGTCGCCCTTCCTGGCCTCCCGGCCCCTCGCGGTGACATACGGTGCCTTGCCGCCGCCGCCCGCTTCCCCGCAGGCCTCGGGGGCTCCAGACGATCTGATCGCCTGTAACATCCCAAATTTTCAATTTAGAATGTTATACATTAGATCATCATTGCATATCATATTTTATTGCATTTTGGTTTGGTCCTAGAAATTCTACGCAACTCAACGACCCACGGAGAGAGTTGGGGATTTCGTTATTTTCATATTTGAATTTTCTCAAAATCTGAAAATAGGATCATTTGATTTTATTTATTTTGTTTTCAATTATTTCTATTATAAAAATAAGAGAGAGGGAATAAAATGACTTTCCCAAAATAAAAAAATAATGAGGATTTAATAAAAAATCAAATAAGTTTTTATTTCGGTGTTTATCGCGGTTTTATTTGAATTTAGGGAAAATGCACGTTTTTCAAAGTTGCATTTAGATCCCAAATAAATGTTCATCTTGTCCGGCTTGATATTAGAGGACGGGGAAAATTTATTTCGGGATTTTTGGAGTCAGTTTAGTATTTCTTTTAATTGTTTTTCTGCACAGAATTATTATTTTTAAAAAAAATCGAACCGACCTAGCCGGGCCGTACCCGACTAGGACTCTGCCCGGCCGGCCCCTTTAAAGGCCGAAGGCCCGAGCCGCCCCAGCCCCTAGCACCACCTGAAACCCTAGCCCCGAGCCGCCGCCGCTCGCCGCCGACCGTCGCCGCCGACCGCGCCGCCGCCGTCCGCCGCCGCCACCGACCGCCCGCCGCCGCCGTCGCCGGAGTCCGCCGCCGCCGAAGGTAGCCGCCGCCTCGGTTCTCGCGAGGAAAACCAATTGTTTTTTTTTGAAACCCTAAATCCGTTTTTTTATAGCTCGGTTTATTTATTTTCCCAGTTTAGTTATTTAGCAGACGTTCGTCCGTACGTTCGTTTTAACGAACGGTTTTCGTCCTTTAGCCACATACAACGAACGTTCATTTGTTAGCCTGTTCGTCCGCTTTTCCTTTTCTCGGATTTTCCGCGATTATTCCAAATCGCGATTTCTGATCCAATTTTCGTTTTAGTATAACTTTTCGCTCGTTTATCGGAATCAGGGGATTCAAGCGCCTAGAGTTTCGTCTCAAAACCCTCTTTGCGTTTAGCCAACTCAAACAAGTTTTTGCCACTGTAAAATTTGACCTAGGTCCAGATTAGTAAACGAAGTTTGTTTCTTTCGCCGTTTGACTTTCGTTTCTTCGTTTGATTTGATTCTTTTTGCAAACCGGAGCTCTTAAGTTGAACTTTCTGGTTATTTCTTTTATTTGAGTTTTACCTGTGCATTAGTTGAGTGCTTATTGTATGCTTGTTTGTTTGCGATAGAGTACCCGGAGTGCGCCGCTTGCTACTACAAGTCTCTAGGTTTCACGGATCATCAACAAGGCAAGTAACACTTTGATCATACCTCTTTACTACCCAGTTTTATTGCATTAGATCAATCCTCAAACAAATGCATGATTATGATATGAGTAATATGTGGGTTTTCGGAAGTAGATGAGGTAGTACCTATTACCTGTTTTATCATCAAACCTTTGGGAGTTACTTCTATGTTTGCTTATATTGTCATGCTATGCTAGTAGACGTGGATTGGGTGAGTGTATCCATGACAGATGTGAGATTGTTATTTAATGGTTTACTTAAAGTGGCAACTTAAATTCACATCTAGGTGGATTGAGGCACCTGGGGAACCCAGTGTTGCCTGTATTTTTGGAAATTCCGGGGTACCGTGTGATTCTCCTATGGACCGCCACCCAGGCTCAAAGGGATCATGGGATTATTCATGCTAGAAACTTCCGTGTGCATCCACAAGCTACTACGGGCTCTAGCATAGTGGAGTAGGTTACAAGACCTCTTTCAGTGGTGGGCTAGCAGATGTAGGGGAAAGTAGGTGTAACTGTCCATCTGGAGTAAAGAGTTATTATTTCTGGAAGACTGTGTCTCGGTCATCCGTTTCTCAAACACCATGTAGTGCGAGAAATCCAACGAAGGAGATCGAGTCTTGTGGGGAAAAGTGCGCAAACCTCTACAGAGTGTACAAACTAATCATGGTTAGCCGTGTTCCCGGTTATGGACGTTTTGAGTATCTAGTACCTGGATTATCATGTGAATCTCATCATGTTATTTTAATTTAATCATGTTGGGGTAATGATGTCACTTAATTGGGGTTGAGTTGGAGGAACCTTCTCAATGTTTAACAACCACCATGATAGTTAAATAAAATTTATTCCTTTGTTGTAGGGAAAAATTGGCTTTATGCAAAACTGTAACCATAGAGCTTTCCACCAGCCATATATGCATGTAGTGATAGCATTATTCTATTCTTTACTCTCTATGTGTTACAATGTCAGCATATTCCATGTGCTGACCCGTTTTCGGGCTGCAACGTTCATGTTGCAGACTTTTCAGACGACGAGTAAGGTGCCTTAGGTCGTGGTCTTATACTCAGTGATGCCGTTGGAGTTGATGGACTCACTTATCTTCCAAGCCTTCCACTGTTATCGTTATTAGATGGCCTTAAGCCATATTTATTGTAATAAGTTCTCTTTTGAGACATTCGATGTAATAGGTGTGTGATTGCTACTCTGTTATAAATCCTTCAAGTACTGTGCGTGTCAGCATTACCGATCCAGGGATGACACTAATGCACAGAGATCAGACTGTTTGAGGTCTGGTCGCTACAAGATGGTATCAGAGCACACGCTGACTGTAGGACACGACCACTAAGCTAAAGCCCTAGATCACTCTCTCTCTTCTCATTTTTGACACCTCATCTTTTCTACTCTTTTAGGAATGGCGGATGCAAGGAACAAGTTCACGCAACCGAATGAAGATACACCCTTTGGACGCCACTTGAAGGAAGTCACTAAGTACCTGAACATCGGAGTACCAAGTTTCACCGGGACCTCACTTTACCAGAAGAGGAGCGTTTGATGAT